AGGGATTTGCATAAATTAATTATTTTTCACAATGCAATACGGCAACTGAAGCGAAATTCTTCACTGTAAGGATTAACAATGATTGCGATTGTTACATTACTGTACGTGAACAAGGGCTATCGATACACATGGGTACCCACTTCCAACAAAATTAGCTTTATACATGATCTTCGATTAATACTAACGGAAGTGATTGGATGGTATATGGTAAAATTTTGTTCTAAACCTAAAACAAGGTGATTTGCATTTCGAAAATTTCTCGGCAAACATGAAGTCATCATATTGGAAGTATAGAATATATTTTTAAAAAGTAAAAAATTGAGTTGATGGACATTTTTTAATTACATATCTCATTATACTTTGTTGAGAATGCTAACTACCTTGAAACAATTATGATATACCTTAAACTCTGAATCAAACATTTATATGTTACTAATTAAATGATATCAATTGGTTTCACTAGGAATCTAATCTTCTTTACCATCTAGGCAATGTACTGTCTACTCATCGATTTCTCTAAAATAAATTAGAAATGACAGAGTGATATTATCAAGTTCTGCTATTACTGAATGATCTGTAATGTAGCGTGAACATATTACGTCATAGTAAATTGGAATAAATCAAAACATACCAACAGAATACTAGTTGGAATTTTTCTATTCGGTTTTTCGATGTTAATTTACGATAATTGAAGAATACTTCAATTACATGTTTCTATAATGATTGACATATTTAATGACGAAGATATGTAATATTTTAATTAATGTTGAAGGATGAGCAAATCTTTGAATTTTGCAGTTTATCATAATGTTTACAAGTTTAGTCTAAATTTTGTTTGTCAAATCAACCTGATTGGCATTTCTGGAAAATTTTACCAAAAATGGTTTCGGGAAAAAAGTTTAGAAAAAACTGAATTGAAGCAAAATGAAATGAAACTGTAAAAAATATTCTAAGGGCTTTGCATAAATTATTTTTCACAATGCAATATGGTAACTGAATTGAAATTATTCATGAAGGGTTAAAGTATAAAGGATTAAAAGTGATTGTTATTATTACATTACTATAGGTTATCGATACACGTGGCTAGCCACTCCCATCAAAATTATCATTTATATACGGGATCCTCTGCCAATAGCATACAGAAGCGGCTGGATGGTATCTATCAAACTGTCTTCGTGAAATTTCATTTAGCGAGTTCTGTTTCATTTATTTCGACGGAGAATGCCAATTGCTTTTTAAAGTTCTGTGTCGTGCGATTTTAGGACTCCAACATGAGCACTTTATTAAACAAAATTATCGTTTTATCAAATTTGTAATTGTGCAAGTTTGTAGAAATCTGCTTTGGAATGCTTGAGATCATTCTCCAACATAAATAATTTGTTGTGTTTGATGTTTGAACGGGAGATATTCGTATTATACACGCAATGAATCCGTACCGATCTCTTTTCAATGTTAATATATTTAGAACAATATGCACTTCAAAAAGTTTTACGCAACTGTTTCAGAATTGGCAAGAAATTATTCCCATCAAAATGCGTTTCATCTGCTTCATCTTCTTCCTCATCCAACTGAGTTACACTCAAACCATCGTAAGTTCATTTAAAATTAAAAAATATAAGATAGCACTGCAATATTTTTAAGGTTTCAAACCTTTAGCTCAGTTTGAAATTGACGACTTCATAAAATTTGAGGAACCGCAAACAAAACCGCTGGATTTGTCCATGACAAGAATGATTGAGAGACGGATTGGACCATCAGATTTATCACCGCAAACAGAACCGTTGGATTTGTCAATGTCAAGAACACATATGGGGATTCATAAGTTTGAGGAGCCACAAATAGAATCGTTAGATTTGTCAATGACAAGAATGATTGAGAAACGGATTGAACCATCAGATCTATCAGCGCCAGAGGTAAGTGGGAGACAAGTAGAACTCAGCGAAATTGATCAGAATGACGCAAGACCGTTGAACCTACCAGTTCAAGAAGTGAGTAAGGAACAAACAAGTACAGGGATTGAACCTAAGACATTGTCCCTTCAAAAGGGAACCTCAAGGTTGGAAGAACATACGACTAACACACCTAAGAAGTCGTTCAAATGCGAAATATGCGGGAAGGATTTCAGAACGTCATCGAATTTGTATGGACATAAGAAGATTCATACCGGTGTGAAGCCGTACAAATGCGAAATATGCGGGAAGGGTTTTCGCTCAGTCATCGGAAAAGAAAAAACATGTGAGAACTCACACAGGTGAGAAGCCGTACAAATGCGAAATATGCGGGAAGGGTTTTGCACACCTATCGAATATGAAAAAGCATGTGAGAATTCACACAGGTGATAAGCCGCACAAATGCGAAATATGCGGGAAGGGTTTTGCTCAGTCATCGAATATGCATGCACATGTGAAGATACACAAGGTGAGAAACGAAACAGTTGTTCTGCGTGAAGAAAAATTTCTCTCAATCACAAAATATGACAATCAGTTGCATTGTATGCGGTAAAGAATTCCTGCGGAAACTCCATTTGAAATCACACATGAAGAATCACATGATGGGCCGATGGAATTGAGGATTATTATTTCTGGTTTTTGTATTTTATAAGTTAAATTCATTTTCTTATTGTACTGTTAGCATTCTGTTGCTTTGTATGTACCGTCCCTCTACC